CCCCGCGAACGATCGCGTCAATTATGCGAAACTGCGCGTAATGAAAGCGCCGTCGTGAAAACCAGTTGAAAACAAACTCTGAAAGGATCTTGGCAACCCCTAATCAAGTCCCGTTTAATAAAACCGGGTCCGGGGATCCCTGAGTCTTGCACCCCCGTAGTCGGGGCCGAGCTCGGCTAATCTGACTTTGATTAAACTTTTAGCGACACCGAAAAGGGTGCCGGGCCGATAGGAACCCGTGCGCGAGCGCGTTTGTGCGTAATGTGTGCGTACTACCACGCAGGACTGCACACAGAGCAGCCCGACGTGTAAGTCGATTTTTATTACGTTCCATCGCATACATTATACCACGCTATATAGACGGCGCGCGGTTAATAGGCTTATCAACACCCCCGGATTACGACAATAAAGTTTTCCGACGCGACGAAAACCGCATCCGATCTGTCGCGCTCAGCTCATTCGCTGTGCTCGTTTGCACTCGCGATTTCCCGCGGATCGTATAATCGCGCCCGATTGATATTCGCACGCGAACGCGCTGTACAATACAATGTGAATAATCGCATCGGCATCTCCGTCCTGACGAAGATGCGTGTAATTATGTATGCGAGACCTTTACTGTTCATTATGCAAACAATCTAAGAATGTTGTAAGATTTATGTTGAGATAATTAATCTAACTGAACGCCATACTGGTCGTTCGTAGGTTAACTTCTTACCCCAACTATCATCGTGAACATTGCCGTCCAACATAGTCGTTCTCGTTGATATCCAGCGTCATTCAGCATCCTGCAACGAAAGAACGTGTTGAAGCGTCGGATCGGATATTTTTTCGCTGTTATTTCGCGGGTCAATTGGTATTATTTGATTAAAACAATGATGTAAGTCGCGAATACAACACACGATATTTGTACGTAAAAAGTTTTACGTAAAAAGTTAACTTCTTACCTCGACTGTTGTCGTGACGATTGTCGTTCAATCTCATCAAAGTCCTGCGTCATTCACCACCCTGCAACGAAAAGATGTGTTGAATCAGGTATGTTTTCGCCGTTATTTCGCAGATACATTGGCATTATTCGATCAAAACGGTGATATAAGTCGCGAGTACGATATTTGTACGTGAAAAGTTAATTTCTTACCTCGATTATTGTCGTGACGATTGTCGTTCAATCTCATTGAGATCCAATGTCACTCAGTATCCTGCAATGAAAAGACGTGTTGAGACATCGAATCGGATATGTTTTCGCCGTTATTTCGCGGATCCATTGACATTATTCGATCAAAACAGTCACGTAAATAGTAGTAAGAGCACACACACGATATCACGCGCGAATTTGCCATTACGGTCGCTTTGAGCGGTACAGTGGCACATTCTGTTGCCACTTCGACAAACTAACATTTGCTTCGCAGAGGAGCATCCTAAGAGGCTGGGCCCATATTCTTGAAATTTTTGTGTATACGTAATTTTCATTGCGCAGCTATTTTATAATATGATTAAACTTGCGCAGTAAAACTTATGTATTTACTAACTATTTCAAGAATAATAAAAGGGCCCTGAGTAATAAAAGGAATAAGGAATAGGCAATCGGGAATAGAGAACAGGAAACAGAGAATACAGAACAGTTCAATATTAAAACATGAACTCTAATTCATCAACGTAAAATAAAGGAATAGAAGAATAGCATTATTTCTTGTTTTCGGTATTTCTTATTCTCTGTTCCTTATTCCTTTTATTGTGCTTTTTATCACTTTCATTATTGCCCATAGAAAATCGGTTAGTTCGTGTGCGATTATCTCATAGTGTAGCGTAAATTTTATGGTTTTTATTATTGCATTACTGTTATTCTCGGATCTTGGATAGTCTGTTATTTGGATCGGTAAAATATTTAGACACATAAGTTATTTGTACGCCAAGGGTTAACTTCTTACCTTGACTGTTGTCATAACGATTGTCGTTCAATCCAATTGGATGTCAATCTCGTTGGCATCCAGCGTCATTCAGCATTCTGCTGAACGAAAGAACGTGTTGAAATGTCGAATCGAATATGACTTAGTCGTTATTTCATGATTCCACTCACGCAATTCGATCAAACAAACACGTAATAAATAATGACAATTCCGCGCGTAAACCATTTCGACTGTAACCGGCGCGGTGGCGCATTCTTTCGGTATTTCGACAAACTAATGTTTGCGGGAGAGCAAACCTTACCATTACTTTTAATGGGTCTGTTCTTTATTAATGGAAGTATGCATTATTTCAGTTACAAAGAATAGACTTATTTCCAATAGTCAGTTTGTGTACGATTATCTTATAACGTGGTATGATTTTTATTATCTATTTTATTATATTCTACTATTACTTCCGCATCTTGGATATTCTGTTATTTGGATGGATAAAATATTTAGAAAGGCCTATATGTAAAGAGTTCACTTACCTTGTCTACATCGTGATCATTGTCGCCCAACCTCGTTGATACTCAATGACATTCAGCATCCTGTGACGAAAGAACGTGTTGAAGCGTCAGATCGAATGTGACCATTATTTTGCGAATCCGCTCACATTATTCGACCGAACAAGCACGTAAATAATCACACACAACCCGTCGTTACGTTACTCTAACCGCCATAGTAGCATTAACGTCACGTCGATAAACAAACATTGGCTATTATTTCGCACGTACACATTTACCGACAATCGTCGGCAAAATCTTATCCATCGTAGTACGCGTGGTGAAACGCGCTACTACGACTAACTGCTAAAATAGCGCGATCTGTCGCCACTCTGACAAACTAACAACCTCTATAGAGAACGGAGCAATTATTATTATTATTACTTTCTACGGTAAATCGATCACACAATATGAACGATTTTGTCTTGCAATGTTACTACGAATTTTATAATTTTTATTATTTTTTCGGATACTCTGTTAAATCAGTAAAATAATTTGACATATTGTGAGCGCATATTTATTAAGGTTATTAACGTGAACTATAGATCTTCAATCAATTTCTTCAAATAGAACGTTTTGGAATGTAACCTGACTCGTATATAAGAGATTAACTTCTTACCTCGACTGTTGTCGTCATCATTGTCTTTCAGAGCTCGTTAATGTCCAATATATTCAATAATATTTGAGATTCTGCAACGAGGGGATGTGTAGAAAGAGCATCGAATCGGATATTTCTTACCCCAACTATTGTCGCGAACTCTGATGTCCAATCTCGTTCACAGCCAGCGTCACTCAGCGTCCTGCAACGAAAGGACGTGTTGCAAATAAATATAACTTTATTGTTATTTCGCGAATGTACTTACGTTACTCAATCAAACAGCTGCGTAATCGTACATGCAATACTTTACGCATCCCGCCATCACGACCGTTTCTCAACCGGCAACTTTGCCGCCAATTCGACGCACTGAAATAGCTGTTGTAGGTAGCAGCACCTACATCGATAGTTAAACAATTATCGATAGTAAAAATCGATTTGCAATCGATTACTTTATAATAAACGATCGATTTTATAATTTTTTTTTATTTTTGTAAATGTGCTTGGTTATTTATTAATAAGAGATTTTTATATTGCACGATGAGAAACCGTCGATAATGTCAGCGCTCTTCACAATGTTACGTCACCAGCGAAGTATGTGCTGACATTATCAGCGATTTTTAGAGAAAGAAAGAGTACAAATGAGTGCAATAAAAGAATTAGAAGATTAATGTCAAATAACGATATTGATTCTTTGCAAGCAGTTAATAATAACTTTTTGCCTTGGTATCCTGTTTTAATGTATCGAGCCTGATAACAAGAATATGTTGACTGAAAGACGCCGACGCGTCGCGCCGGCGACAATATCGCTCATGTCGCCACTGGGGTAACGAGGATTTATAAATTGAGCGTATGTACATACGATGCTATCAACGACGAAATCGCACCACTTGTGCCAGATCATACTTGTCAATGGTTTCTGCGGTTCTTTCAATTGGTAACATCATTCACCAATTAGTAGCAAGTGTATTAAACAAGCTAGCAACGCGCATATAACTGTCATCGAATTGACCACGCGTGGAGGGTAAGTGTCAAGGTGTTAATAATTATTGAATTGTGTCCGAAATGAAGCGAATTATGTATGTACACTCGTACAAAATAGATCTGCGAGAAAACATGTTTTATATGCGTTATATATAAAAGAAGGTGGAGTCATAAATTGGGCGGGTGTCTGAGATTACGTTATCGTAAAATGGCATAATCTTAGGCAATTATGATATTTATGATGTGATCGAATACATTTTTATTCTGTTGTACAGAATTAGGCCTGTAAAACTCAAAATTTATTACTGATTCTCTTCCATCAGAAACTAACCTATGTATCTGTTTACATACGTACAATTAACAAAATTTTGTTAATTTGAGTAAATATACAGAAAAGCTGACACTTCAAGTCGGTGAGATATCTCCTTTCCTGTATATTTAGCTTAATTTGAAACAAGTAGCCTTTAAGAAGAAATAATTAAAATTAGAGAATTTGATTTGTTTATTTTACCAAAGATGACTGGTCATTTGCCCATTCTATTGTAACTCTATTTTTTACAGAACACACTTGACGCTCCACAAGAAAATGTTTCTCAGAACCAAGTTGTTACAAAGATGTCTAGCGCATAATGTGCGATTTTTGGGTTGCAGATCGATGCATCTTCTGAGAGATAATGCATATGTTAACGGGAAGTGGGTTGGTGCTAATAACAAACAGACATTCCCAATTTGCAACCCTGTTGACAATAGTGTTATCGCTTGTGTTCCTGATATGAACATAGCTGATACTCAATTAGCCATTGACGCTGCTACCAAAGCTTTCAAATCATTCAGCAAAACTACAGCCAAGGAGAGGAGTGACCTGCTCAGAAAATGGTATAATTTAATGGTTGAACATTCTGAAGATCTGGCCTGTATCTTAACGAAAGAGAATGGAAAGTCCTTAGCTGAATCTAGAGCAGAGATCAAGTATGGGAATTCCTTCGTGGAGTGGTTTGCAGAAGAAGCTAGGAGAATAGATGGAGAGATCTTGCAAGCTCCTGTAGCCAACAGAGAATTGTTCTTGCTGAAACAACCAGTGGGAGTAGCAGCTTTAATTACACCATGGAATTTCCCACACGCTATGATCACTAGGAAAGCAGCAGCTGCCCTCGCTGCTGGATGTACATGCGTGGTGAAACCATCCGAGGATACACCACTGACAGCGCTGGCATTGGCAGAACTCGCGGAACAAGCGGGCTTCCCCGCGGGAATCTTCAATGTACTCACCACAAGCATAACGAATTCCCCCGCCGTCGGCAAAGAACTATGCGAGAATCCCAAAGTAAGAGTGCTGTCGTTCACGGGCTCCACGGCTGTGGGGAAGATCTTGTACGGGCAATGCGCGTCGACCATGAAACGGCTTGGCCTTGAACTGGGCGGTAACGCGCCTTACATCGTATTCAAATCCGCAGATGTGGATCTGGCTGTAAATAGCGCGATGGCAAGTAAATTCCGCAACACCGGTCAAACGTGCGTCTCGGCGAACAGGTTCTTCGTAGAGGCCGACATCTTTGACGAGTTTGTTAAGAAATTTGTGGAGAGAATCAAAAAGGATATCAAAATGGGAGACGGTAGCAAGGAGAACGTTACTCACGGACCGCTCATTAAGCAGAGCCAATTAGATATGGTGAGCGGTTTGGTGAACGAAGCGGTCCAGAAGGGTGCTAAGATACGTTGTGGCGGCGCACCGCTACCGAATCTGGGAGCTCTGTTTTATGCACCTACTGTGTTAACGGACGTAACTAAAGACTCGCAGATTTACAACAAAGAGATCTTCGGGCCGGTGGCTGTAATTAATAAATTTAGCAACGAAGAGGATGTACTAAAACAAGCAAATGACACACCGGTCGGTTTAGCCGGATACTTCTTCTCGCAGGACATATCGCAGATATTTAGAGTAGCGCGCAAGTTGGAGGTCGGTATGGTAGGTGTTAACGAAGGTGTAATTTCGAGCACGGAAGCCGCTTTCGGCGGAGTAAAGGAGTCTGGTTTGGGAAGGGAAGGTTCTAAACACGGCGTTGACGATTTTCTCGATATCAAGTATGTATGCATCGGCAATCTCAAGCGCTAACTAATCGTGTGATATCAGATAAAATGTGCATTCTAAGAATAGGCAAATATTATGCGATGATGCTACAACTCAATGAAAGATAGACAATAAATAGATCGTATCATTATATAATTTAATTATGATATTAGGCGCGTATACACATGTAGGAGAAAATTGGAGTTGTTTTAAATATCGGAAGAGCATACTTTTGGCTATAATTATACATATGTAGTTGCTATTACTTGCATTCTTATTGTCGTTTAAAAAAGAACATGCTCTTTTGCTACAGCTATTAAATACAATATTAATATTAAATGTGTGATATATATAATATGTGTGAGAGATTATAATAAATTATATATTTTTTTCATCTTTATAGAGTGCAATATATATTATAATGGTATACAAAAGTATTCTTTTTTATTTTATTAATCTAATTTTCCTTTCTCTTTATATATATATATATATATATATATATAT